AATTTGAATTCTATATAAAAACATGCTTTAAGATGAGTCAATTTTCTATTTTCTATTTTGGACATTAACTATTCCTGTAATTTTCTCATGAACTTATTTTGGTTCATAAACATTTTCATAACTAATAAAATTTTATCAAAAATTTTCTGACTTTTTAATTGGTGTACGTAAGATTTACATAAACAAAATTAAGTGTGTATACATAAGATTTACGCAAACAAGATTAAGAAAAAAATTAAAAAAATAAAAAATAAAAAATAATATACATGATAAATACTTATTAAATAATTTAAATACGAATGTGATACATTTACCTAAGGCTGACAAGGAACTGAATCAACTCAAAAAAATTTCGGAATTACATTCGATAATTAAATCGTTGAACTAAGTTCATGAACCAAATGAGCTGAATATGAGCGAAAAACTAAGTTCGTTAACTAAATGAGCTGAATTTTAACTATACATAATTCGACTCGTTAGGTTCATGAGTCAACTCAATTATATATGAGAAGGATAATATTGTATTTAAGAGTAAGTTTAAGGATTTACTCCAAATTTTAACTCTTTATTGTCCCTTCCGTACTAGTTATGGAAGTAAAGCTGACAGTTGCATTTAGAGTCATCATTGTTAGAGGCATTATGGCATTTGCGAAAATAACATGTGTAGTGAAGGTTACGACTGATGTACACATTCTGTGATGAAAATGCATTAGTTTCTAATAATATTTGGTGTACTATTTCATTAAATTTGTAAGGTTCCTAAATATTTAGATGAAATTATGAATTTTTGTGACAAATTTAGACTTCAATTGAGTAGTTTTTGAATTAGACTTTCAAATGTATCTCTTGAAAGTTGTGTAGTTTTTGAATTAGTAGATTTTTTAGACAATAAAATTTTAATCTAATAACTTTTATTTTATTTCAACATGTTCTTTTTTAAAAAAATATGTATAAAAAAATACTTTAAAATGACTTTTAAGTCCGTGAAGCAAGTGAGATGAACCTAACGAGTTGAAACGAATTGTTCGTGAACTTATAACGAGTCGAGTTTGAGCTTAAAAAAAATTTGTGTCGAACTCGAACTGAGATTTGAGCTGAATCAATTATTAATGATTCAGGCTAAGCTGAGGTGAGTTCGACTCGACTCAACTCATTTTTAGCCCTACATTCACCCATAAAATTTCAAATTACTACAACGACATAAAATTTTAGATATATCTCTTGGATGACAAAGGAAAAGAAAAGACATGAAATAATAAATAAATTTATTAGAATTATTTTAACTTTACAATTTCATGATTCAACATTTTTACTTATCTAATTTATTTCACATTTTCATGATTGAACATGTTGTGAATTGATGTCGTCAATAATAGAACAAAGTTCTAAGATAAAGATTGAGTTTTTTGAACAAATACAAGATATCCTATTAGGTTTCACAAAGGAAAAGAGAAGAAAGAAGAAGAATAGAGAGTTGGTTAAATCTGTTATACTATTCACTTTCTCAATAAGGGTACAAAGGTTACAAGTGAATACCAACAATTAACCTCTCTCTACAACGTGAGAGAACTAGTGTATTTATAGACTACTAAGTTAACTTAGATTACAAGTTAACTTAACAAGTGGACTTACAAGTAAGATCCAATTCGACATGCTAACAATCCTAACATTTCGACTATTGCAGGCTTGAGCATACTTCGACTACAACATACAAGATCAGTATGTGATCAGACCTCGACTTCATACTAAACCTTCTGTCGAACCATGAAGGTACCCTGGTCGACACTAGAGTTCGACCTAAAATACCACATAACATTTTCACTTATATTACTTATTTAAAATCTCATATTTAAATTAAATCACAATAAAATTAGAATCTTGTGAATTTTTTCAGACTTATTTTACATTTTCACTTAAATTTTTTAATTCTTTTTTTTTTATCTTCTAATTTTATTGTCTAAATTAATGAATCTTTATAATAAATAATATCAAAATCTATTTTTATTTAATATTACTTAAATAACTCATCTCCAATCTCGCGCAACGCGCGAGTCTTAATCTAGTTTATATTAAAGCATTAGCATTTGTTTTACATTAATATAGATATATTATAAAAAGACAAAGTTACTGTTTTAGTTCTTTAAGTTATTTTAAAATATTAAATTAGTCTCTTAAATTTTTTTTGTAACGCTTTGGTCTCTTTTTAAAAATCTCTGTTATAATAAATTGCAAGCTCATATACCATTTGATCTGAGTTTGTAATTTATTGAGTTTGTAATTTATTGTAACAGAGATTTTTAAAAAAGGACCAAAGTGTTACAAAAAAAAACGTAAGAGACTAACTTGATATTTTAAAATAACTTAAAGGACCTAGACAATAGTTTTGTCTTATAAAAAAACATATACATTTGTTCAACAAATAAGAAATTGCATCATCTAGAGAAGAATTAAAATTCAAAAATAAAATGGTTAATCGAAAGAATTTCAAAATGAAACATCACATTGTATTGAGGGAACACAACTTAGAAACATAAAGTTGTGCTGCCTCAATACAACTTGTTGTCTCCATTTCAAATTTTTTTGATTAACCATAAGAATTTGAAAAGGAAACATCGTGTTGCATTGAGATAACACAACTTTATGTTTTCAAGTTGTGATCTCTCAGTACAACGTAATGTTTTTCTTTTCAAATTCTTATAATTAACTAATTTCTTTTCGGGTTGCAAGTCTATATTAGATGACACAGTTACTTCTTTTCTAAACAACTAGTTATACTTTTATAGTATAACCAAATTGGTAAAACATAAATGCATATCCATTAAAATAAATTTTATTTTATTAAGCGCAAAATGTCAAGGATACAGTAAAGTGAATAATATATTTATTTACAAATCCAACATATTATCTTGTCATTTTAATATTGAACATTTCCCTTAAAAAAACTCTCATGTACTTTACCTTATAAGGACTTTAGTCTTCTCCTTACATCAAATATCTCAATAACAACAACACAACAACAAGAGTAACAATAAGAACAACAACAAAAAATAAAGGACAAATAGTTTAACGACAACAACAAGATTAAACCTTCAATCTCAGCAAAAATAACAACATAAATCAACAAAAAAAAGACAACATAAAACCTTTAATCTCATCTTAATAACAATAATAATAACTTTAAACCTTTTACTTATCTCAACAAAAACAACAATATAACTCATGAAAAATAACAACATAAACCTTTAATTTTCATCTTAACAATTACAACAATAACATATTTTACTTATCTAAACAAAAACAACAACATAAAATATTTAATCTCACCTTAACAACAAGAACAACAATAACACTAAACATTTTACTTATCGCAACAAAAATAACATAACTCAACAAAAACAACATAACTCAACAAAAACAAACATAACACCTTTAATCTCATCTTAACAACAACAACAACAACAACAACAACAACAACAACAACAACAACAACAAAAAAGTACAATCTCAATCTAAACAACAACAACATTAAACCTATAGGATTTAAGATCTCAACAACGAAAATAACAATAAACCCTAAAGGAAAAATCATTTGAACAACAACAATAACATTATAATAAAATAAATGGTTGAAATGTTTCACGTACTAGAAATATGATGAAGAAGTAAAAAAAATGAATTGTGTTTCCTTCTTACAAATTTCATGTTTCCTTTTTTTGATCCGTACGAGTTGAGAAGATATGATGGATGTTGATGAAAAATGATGCTTCGTACCTCTATAGAGATAGAGATTAAGTGTGAGAGGATAGAATTTCGCTTATGAAGTTAGGGTGTTATGCTATTTTGAAGGAAAATAAATTTCATCTATATATGTAATTTATTTTAATATAAAATATATAAATAAATAAAAACAAGTGAAAAACTATTTCATCCCGGTCATATTTATCAACTTAGAGAAATGTCAAGTGCTTCCCAGAGAGATATTTTCCCATCGTTGTTAAATATGTCTGAGGTGAAAAGTTATTCAATTTTAATTTAAAAATGAAAATAAAGGGAAAATTCCCTTTTATAATTAAGGTAAAATACTCTTTTTGATCCCTTAAGTATACCTTTAGATTCATATTGATCTCTTTTTTTTATGTCAGATTTGTCCATTAACTCTTAAAATATGTCATGTTAGTCTTTTTGTCTAATTAACGATTAAAATAAATTCAAAAATCAGCCGCTAAATTCGTTTTTAATTAAACAAAAAGAATTCACATTACACATTTCAAGAGTAAAGGAACCAATTTGATAAAAAAAATATTAACAAATCAATCTAAATTTAAAGATATAATTAAATAACCAAAAATAATATTTTATCTATAATTAATAAAACATAAAATTATTGGTGGTGGTAATATTCCAATCGTGTTCCAGAAAAACTAATTTTCACATAGGTTTATAATAATGACCAAGCAACACTAAATTTATATTAAAGAAAAACATCTAATAAAATAGATATTATTTCGATGGAATAAACGGTCGAAATAGAAGTCTCTTCCAAAATCTATTATTTATCATAATGAGTTGAATAAACTGACAAGTTATAATTAAAAGTATGATAATGACAACAAAAAAAAACAAAAAAAAAAAGGTTAGATAATTATCTTGAGATAGAAAAAACCAGTAATTAAAATACTTTTTAAGAAATGAAGGAGTCACACTCATAAATATAATCAATCATATACTTCAGCATCACTAACATCTAAATTGTTGTAATATTTTCTTATAATTTTTGTGTCAAACGAAAACATGACAGAAAAATCAAAATGGAATAACATTGAATATACATAATGATATCAAAACATGACACATCAAAGAACAATAATCATCATGCATTTAAACCAAACTTTCCATTTTTCACTCATAAAAGAAAAACAAAACTAGATTATATTTAAGCAAGACACAATCTTCAAAAACATAAACATGATTATTCTTTTCTATACCTAAAACATGATCACTTAGGCTAATTTCTTCCCATTCATCATCATCCTTGTAAACTCATTCAAGTTTATAAAACCATCTCCATCCCCATCAACACCTTTCACCATTTTCTTACAAGCACCAAGGCTACAACTCTCACCTAGCCTCATAAATATTTGAGACAATTCTTCAGCACTAATTTTCCCATCACCATTTATATCAAATACTTGAAAAGCATTCTTAATTTCATCTTCTTTTGTGTTACTACCCTCTCCATTGAACATTTCCATGAACTCTTTAAAGTCTATGAAACCATCTTTGTCAGAATCCATGGCTCTGAATGCTTTCACTGCCTCACTGTCACTAACACCTTTATCCAAAGACTTTGCAGCTGCTTTGTACTCTTCAAGACTGATTTTTCCGTCTTTGTTTTTGTCGAATTTCTCAAAAACATATTTCATTTCACCTTTCTTTGGTTCATTACCCGTTTCTGCATGCGCCGGTTGTCTCGGCTTAAAGCTTTTGTTCTTCTGGGCTAGATTTTTTGGTGGGGAGGTTGGCTTCTTCGAAAAGCTACCATAAAATTTTTGGAAACTCAATTTTGACATTGTCTTTTGTTAGGACCTTTGATGCAATTTGGCTTTAGTATGACTATGGTTTGTGATTGCTACTACGTTATGACTTGTTTATATAGATAACATAAGCTTGTTACTATTGAAAAGCTCTAGGTATGATTTGTAAATGAAAAGTAGTAGAATCTGAATAAAGATTTGTTCTTATGCCAAGAGTTTTTAAACTAAATTTGTGTATATGCTTTATTCTAAATTTTTAGTGATGCTGTCATAACTAAGTATTTGTGTTTAAAACTGTTCTTTTTTAAATGAACGTTGCGTGTAATTATAGAGATTAATTTTTTAACTGGTGGATAACTACAATCAACAGAAATTTAATATCATAGTATCTTTATGAATGAATTCAATGTCTATTAAATTGATAGACATTGAATTGGTGAAGTTGGAATAACTTTATGTGCAAGGTTCACTTATGACTTATGGTAAGCAAAACAATATTGTTAACTTGTGTGGTTTAAGTTGAATTGCAAATCTATTTGATGATTCCGTTTGAACTTTTTGTAAACCGTGTATTCACCACCTACTTGCTGAGCTGAATCATATTCTCATGCCACTTATTAATTTGTTATTATGGATGTATATCAAAGTGTTGGTGAATCCTTCATTGAGTACAGAACATTTTGTAAGGATAAATGGTATCAAAACTTTAGAATGAGCAAATACTTTTATTTACACAAACAATATCAAGCAAATTTCAAGAGTAGGATTTAAAGTCGTTTATCAAAATTACCCTATAAAATAGGGTTCGCTTTGGAAAATCAGTTTAAATACTCTATAGATCAAATTAGTTGAGGTTTTGAGTAGGATTGTTAAAAAATATTATGAACCGAATCGAATTGAAGTTAAAATAACCGAATTATTATATTTTGTTAGTGAATCAAACTATATTGTAAAAAACAGTTCTAGAACCGTACCAAAACTGAAACTGAACCGAATTAAAACTGAAACTGAATCTTGATGATGAAAATTCTCTCTATTCACTTTTGCTCTGATAGAGCTTTTTTCTTCTCTCTTGATTTTTCTCTCTCAATTTCTCGTACCGACTGATTTTCTCTTATTCCACTAATTTAAACAAAAACTTATTTTATTTTTATTTTCATAACTCAATTAATTCCCCTTATTTCTTATTAATTTACTCCACCTCCCTAATTTCCATCAATTTCTATTTTCTCCTAAATCTCTTATTATTTATTTTCTCTATTATTTCAATTAATTAAATAAAAATTTATAATATTTGTACCCACCCTCATAAAGTTAAATAAAACAAATAATCAATTCAAAAACACACCAAACCTCAAATAAAATAATATAATTAAAATCAGGGTGTTACAACTCTCCCCCACTTAAAAAAATTTTACCCTTGAAAATTACCTTAAGGAAATAGCTCTAGATAAGACTCTTTCATCCGACTCACCAACTCCCACGTCATGCTTCCTCCAGCAGGTCCTTCACACAAAACCTTATCCAAAGCAATCTCTTTACCACTCAAGTGTTTCACTTATTGATCCTCAATTCACAAGGGTGATGTCTTTAAGTTCTCTCTCACTTGCATATCATTCAATTTAATCACATGGGACGATCAGGAATATACTTCCAAAGTTGAGATACATGAAAAATATCATGAAGATTCGAAGAAATGGTGGTAAGGCAACTTTGTAGACCACGTTTCCTACTGTCTGAAGGATCTGATACGGACCAATAAAACAATGCGTGAGCTTTCGAGACTTAAACGCACGACCTACATTAGTCATCGAAGAGACTCTCAAGAACATATGATTTCCCTCTTGAAACTCAAGTGTCTTCCTTCGCTTGTCATGGTAACTCTTTTGTCTACTATGTGATGTCTTCATCCTCTCCTGGATCATCTTAACTTTCTCAATAGTCTATCGAACAATCTCTGGTCCAAGCACAACACTTTCACCTTATTCATACCAACACAAAGGTGGCATACACCTTCTACTATACAAGAAATCAAAAGATGTCATCTCAATACTAGAATGGTAGTTGTTTTTATATGTGAACTCGATCATTGGAAAGTAACTATCCAAATTACCTTTTTGTTCTAAAACACAAGCTTTCAACAAATCTTTTTAAAATTGGATAGTCCTTTATGTCTGTAGAACTCAACCTCAACTTGGTTCCCAATGCTTCTTGTAAACTATCCCAGAATCTGATGTGAACCTCAGATCTCAATCTGAAATAATACTCGAAGGAATTTTGTGCAGCTTCATAATCTCGCTGATGTAGATCTATGTTAACTTCTACAGAGGATAAGTGATCTTTATTGAAATAAAACGAGCCGACTTAGTCAGTCTATCCACGCAACCCAAATTGAATAACTTCCTTTAACAGTATTTCGAAAACCCGCCACAAAATCCATATTAATGTTATCCCACTTCCACTCAGGAATACTCAAAGGTTGTATCAATCCATAAGGTTTCTGATACTCGATCTTTGACTTTTAACAAGTAAAAGAATAATACACAAACTTATCAACATCCTTATTGATACCTAGCCACCAAAACATCTTCTTAAGATCTTGATACATCTTAGTAGCTTCAAGATGAATACTCAAACTACTCTTGTGACTTTCCTCAAGAATTCTCTTCTTAAGCTCTGGAAATTCCAGTATACAAACTCTGTCATGAAATTTCATAATTCCATTCTCAAATACTCTGAAGTCCACCTCTTTACCTTGATTGATTAACACCAATCGTTCAAAATTTAGTGATCTAGAATATTAAAATGAAGTGATCTAGAATATACTCATTAGGAAATATTTGAAATTTGGTGTCAAAATGCTGCAGATTTTGAATTTGTTGTATTTTTGCCAAAACGCACTGGTTAATCGATTAACCATTTGCATGTACTAATGTGTTAATCAATTAACATAGTGAAAAAGTGTGAAAATGGGTTTTTGATGTGTTGTCTTGGTTCCAAATCGATTCGTTTGACTTGTCAAAGAAGGCATGGAAATAAACACATGAACCTTAAAATTTCTTGAGTAATAGTCAATAAAATCTTGGGAAACTCTTGATCAAATGATTTGAATTGCTTGCATATCAACTTTGACTTTGTTTAGATGAAATTCATTCGAGCTGAGGGACTGTTGATTGATGTTCTTGATTCCAACCTCTTCCTGAAAACGTTAGTAAAGAAAAAAAAATCTATTTTTGGTATTTTGATTAAAGGTTAGTAAACATAAACATACAAATAAAAGCAAACAAGAAACACACAGATGCTCAGTGATCCCAGCAAGGTATAAACCCAAAGATGAGAGGGATAGAGAAACCAAAGCATGATCTTGTTTGTGATGCAAAGATGCAAATGAGATGTGGGAAATTTTAGGGGTAAAAATTAGGGTATTACAGTTACCATATTTCTTCTTAACAAGAACATTGGCACTCCCCATGGAGACACATTAGGCATGTTAAATGTTTTCTCCAATAGATCTTCCAATTGTTTCTTCTGCTCACTCAACTCTGATGCGTACATTCTATACGGTGCCATTTGCACATGTCTAGTATAAAGTACTAAATCTATGGAAAAATCCACTTCTCGCTATGGCGGTAAGTCACAAATATCCTAAGGAAACACATAAGAAAAATTACACACCACATGCATTTCACTAACCACAACATCGCTCCCCACTCTTAAGGAAGCGAACATCACGAGCACCTGATCATATTCCTTAAAGGATAGTTCTACCTGACTGACATACATGAATCTCAAAATCGTACTCTCTTCAGGTTTGAGAAATAACACTGTCTTGTTAAAATAATTTATATGAACATGGTTGAACTCTAGCCAATTCATTCCCAAAATAACGTTGAGTTGACTCAACGAAAAACAGGTCAAGTCAACTCTAAAGTCTCTACTATAAATGGTCAAGTGACAATTCAGACACGTGAATGTAGTAGTCAACGAACCATTAACTGGAGTATCAATAACCATATTATCAATCATGGAAGACACATCTAGGTTCAACTTGTTAACACATTCAAGAGATATAAACGAATGTATCGCACCAGTATCAATAATAGCAATCAAAGAAACACCATTAATACGACTTGTACCTCGAATTAGATTATCTAATCTCAAGAGATTCACACCACTCAAAGAAAACACCTTCCTTGGTTTCTGACATTGGGCACTGATATGACATTGATCTCCATAGTTATAACAAGTCAGTGCAGTACTCTTGCACTCATTAGCATGATGTACCTAATCCCCACAATTGAAACACTTCAGACTTATGCTCTTGCACTCAACAAAATGATGACCTAACCCTTAACAGTCGTAACATCTCAGATAAGCAGGAGTGCATCCCCTACGTGTCTCTTTCCCACCCGCGATCTTCTTCTAAAACTTTTATTTTCCCTTATCAATTAAGTCACATATGGTTTACCACTATTCTGATTCCAACCATTATTCTCACTCACCTTCTTGTAGTGAGTCGGTCTAACACTACTATCATCATCATAGATTCTACACTTGTTCACCAGCACTGAGAATCGACGGATTTCTTGATAACCAATGAACTGCTTGATCTCAAGTCATAAGTTACTCTCAAACTTCACAGACTTTTACCCTTTAGTTTCCACACCATTATAGTAAGGGCAAAATCTTGAGAGCTCCTCAAACTTATCTGCATAATGAACCATATTCATACTCCATTATTTCAGCTGCAAGAACTCAATTGCCTTCTTGCGCCAAACATCAGCTGAAAAGTACTTCTCTAGAAACTATGTCTTGCAATTAACCCAAGTAATCTCCACATTAACAGCTTTCATTCTATGGCGGGTACTCTCGAATCAAGGGAGTTTGTTTGTTCATTTGCTATTATTCCATTCTTGTATAAACGATTCAACAACAGGTTACATTTATATTATACGAGCTCAATTATATTGTTAGAATTGAGGGCGGACGTACCCCGAAGCGAGGACGACGGGGGAACTGTCTCAACAAATCTTTGT